CTACCATCTGTCGAGAGTCCGCCAACGGTGCTCTAGGCAACCCTAATCCAGTTGCTATCCACACCACAAGACTCGCTGTTAAGCGTCCAGAGTTCAATGGAAAAATAGTCTGGCCACATGTCTCTTCCTCGCCAGCTGTGTCGTTACCGTCGCTCGACATCGCCCCTTTTTGGCGTATACCGGTGAAGGTAGGTCGAATTCGGGTTCTTGCACTAACTCAGGCTCGTAGGCCACGTCTTCCAGTCGAACGTGCCAAGTCTCGGTGGGACCTCCAATGTGGCGTATAAGTCTCGACTCAAAGATTCATGAACTCTCTCTGCACATGCGCAGTACACATTATAGTATAAGTGATAGGGTGATACATGAGATGCATGCGTAAATGTGTGAGGCCATGCAGATAGTAATGGTGAGGATATTAGTTTGCTACAAATGTATGGGACTACGATAGGGAGTTTTGTTCATCATCTTGTTATTCTTCAACCAGCATAACTCAAAAACCAAGAGAGATAAGATAAAGTCATGAAAGTTTGTAGGAATGTACATATCCATAACCACATGTGCAACGTCATACTTTTTTGTTTGTATACAATGTTGTTTACTGTAAAACAACAAAAAAAATTGCCCCAGGCAATACATATTTATAATGGGCATGGATGTGTCAGTGTAACTCACAATTGGAGAGTGTCCTTGGTTCTAGGGCATCTCCCCTTTTCCCCCTTGAAAACAAGAGTTGTCATGGGTGTAGTTAACTTGTTTGTTTTACCTCACCATGTTGTTGACACAAGAGTGAGGATCGACGAACGTGCAGAGCATTAAGATATTCCTATATTCGTACGTGTGACTACTATGCCATATATGCATGGAAATCTTTGAGATCCCAAGTGTAGCAATTTTGTTGTGTCCGTCCAAAGGTGTGCAGTAAGGCAACTACACCAACATTTAGTCGGGCCTACTGCACAAGCCTGCTCAATTATCTAGTCATAGAATGCAACTTATAAAGAAGCACAAAATGTAGATGTTGTCACGGCACACACAGGCGTTTATCGGAGTTTCAAACAGTGTCTCCAAGTCAATTCTAACACGGTCTCCAACACTGCCTTTGGTAAATAGCACACTATCCGTGGTTATAGTCGAGTGAAAAGCAAATATTTTCCAGGGATGTAATATATAATCTGAACCTTGAACTCTCTGGAGTTATTTACAAGTTGTTGGTGGTGTGCATTCTCCTTCATGTGTGTTTCCTATTCAACCCCTCCAAAGGTGGCCTCACCCACTGGTCCCACCTTTGCCCTCGCTAATTGCCACACAAAGGTGAACATAAATGACATTCCTGAGGTTGCATAGTTCTAGATAGTGTTTTACTACTGTGACTAATTGACATTCCTAAGAAGTGTGACTTCATTGAAGGATAGGCTGCAGGCTTGGCAAGGAAATTTAGGCATGTGTACTGCATAGCACCATTGTGCTGCTAAAAGAATCCACACTTGTAGTCCCACAGTTTGGGTTATGCACAGCAGTATGCATTCACCATCAGTCACACTCAGAAAATCTTCTGCAAAGCCTACCAATGCTTGTAATTGTCACCTAAGTTGTGGATAATTACGTAGGTCAAAAGTTCAGAATTGACGAAAACTACAACCCTAAGCTACCTCAGGTCCTGTCATTAATTATCCTCCACATCTTCACCAAGCTCCCACAACCTCAACTACATCACACTGTATCATACATTATGCCCTCCTTTCTGAAGTCTGCCCGACCTTCATACATAGCCTGACCCTTATCTATGTATATGAACGAACGTTTGTATACACAATGTATTCAATAGCCAATATCACAAATGACAAAATACATGATTGTAAATAACAACAAATAACCTCAGGTACTTTTCTACTCCTCAAACTTGCTAACTGTAGCATGCATGGAGGTGAAACTTGGTGCACATGTGTATTACACCGTTTCCATGACGACCATAAAAATCCTCAGGAACTTTTTCTTCACTCCTCAAACTTGCTGACGGTACCACGCATGGAGATGAAACTCGGTATGTATGCGTGTAACATCATTTCCATAACAACTACATGTTTCTATGACGACTACATATTGTTTAAATAGCTTCAGGCACTTCTCCTCAAACTTTGCTAACAGTAGCACTCATGGAGATGAAACTTGGTCAGAATGCGTATGATATATGTTTCCATAACAACCACATATTATTTGGACAACAACAAATAACCTCAGGCATTTACTTCTTCACTCCTCAAACTTGCTAACGGCAGCACATATAGAGATGAAACGTGGTACGCATGCATATTACATAATTTCCATGATGACAACAGGCATTTTTCTCCATTATTAATTTTTATAGGGGGCCTGCCCCCTTTCACAGAGATATACGTAGTAGTATATAAAAAAGAGTGGAGACAAGTAAATAAAAATCCTGCGAATTTTAAAAAAGAAGGGATGATGAATAAAAAAGGAGACAAGATATGGACGGAATATAGGAATAGCTTCAATACATGTATAATTAAATTGTGAGGTATAGGGACACCACTGACACAATCACTATAAATAAATAATGTTCAGGTGGGTGCCATAGCACTAGGGCCATAGACCACGTAACCAGAGCAATGGGCGGAACCGTTGACAAATGAACATACACCATATGAACATGAGGTGTCTGTCTCACCTCCCAGACACCTCAACTCACCCCTCCCACCAGCGACACCCTGCAGCTCCCCAGACGCAATCTGAGACTGGGTCTGTTGTACATTAGGATTATCGCTGTATAACCTAACTTTCCTTAACTCCCAAACATCCAAAATATAACCTTTAACAAGGCCAAGCAAAAAACCAAATTTATCCTCCCACAGCTCAGTAAAGGATGCTTTCCTGAAACTATCAAGCGACTGAAAAATGCTCAAACCCCTCATCCCCAAGTTTCCCCCGCAGGGCAACAAATAAATTGCTCTTAAGACTACTATATGCCGGACACTCCCACAACACATGACTCACACATTCACACTCATCATCACACAACAGGGACTCCTTCATCCCCTCTCTCCCCCCAGTTCCTCATTTAGCCCATGCGTGCCTGACCTCAACTTAAACATTAATCTAGACCCAGCATCACTTTTCCCATGCAAGTACATTTTGAACTCTACCACCTTGTTAAATGTCTTATCAGCTTTACTTTGCTATTTAGCCCCTCTTCAAACTTTCTAATCTCCCTCTCATCGATAATGTCCCCTACTATAGACAAAAAGCCCTTCATGGTGCAATCCCCATTTTGAATATCATGCAACCACTCTGCCTTGTCAAGACCTAATGATGAAAAGAGATCATCAATGACCTTACTCCAACAGTTCCTCTGCCTGCCTCTCTGTGGCTTAAAATTCCATTCCTGGTTAAAAAGCTTCTTCGGATATCTATTGCCTGGCAATGCCGCTAACTTATACCACCACTTCAACTTATTCTTATCCCTACACCCTTGTAACGTATCAAGCCCCCTAACGGCTTCATTACATGTCCTAGACGAACACCCAAGAATACGCTTAGCCCCTCCCAGCATCACGGACTCTAATGCAGCTGCCTCAGTCTTATTGGCTTCCCACACCTCACTCCCATACTCTAAAGTTGGCCTAACCACCGCCAGCAACAACCTGCGAGCACTCAATTTAATATCCCTATTACTAATTACACTATGCAACTGATTAACCTTCCTTCTACTGTTGTCTAACACATTCTTGATGCACCAGTACTAGTAAAATCAACACCCAAGTATGTGTATTTCGATACTCTAGGCAAAACATGCTCCCCCCATTTCCAAGCACCATCCACTGACTCCACCATCACTGCACTCTTACTCACATTAGGCTTTAGCCTCCATTGCCGACAGTTAGCATGTACCACATCTATAAGCGTCTGCTTAGACTCACTAACACCAACGAAGTCATCTGCAAACAAAGGTCCTTCAAGTCTCCCACCACTGCTTAAATCAATCCCAATCTCAGCTTCCTCTACCTCACTCAACAACCCTTTGATAAACATAATAATAAGCACAACCATACTCAGTGATACACATTGTAATTTGCATTCCACTACTGCAGGCGTATATTATAGTCAACCTGGAGTGCTGCTGAATAATTTTGAATAATGCCAAATGCAAACCCCCTTGAAAGAGCAACTTACAGCTACTTTTACAGATTTATTATATACACACCAGGCAACAATATAGGAATTGTGTCAGTGGTGTCCCTATACCTCATGTATTGAAGCTATTCCTATGCCAATCCCTATCTTGTCTGTTTTATACAAGTAAATAAAAAATCCTGCGGATTAAAAAAGAGTGCATATAGGGATCGTATAAAAAGAAAGGGAGACAAGATAGGGATTGTGTTTGTGGAAGCACAGAGATGCTAGCGAGGAGTTAGGACTCCCACAGGTCATTACAACAGCCCTATATCGTCGTATCGGTGCTTTACTACTTCCTCGTGAATATATCAGCCAACCTTGCATACTTGAATTTTGTTTTCTTGCGTTACACAATTTTTCCATGTTTCCATGTATATACATGTATATACATGTATATCCAATGTTATGGTCGGCTGATTACACTTCCACCTAAATGCGCACTCCATGGAAATGTAGCATGACAAATCTAATTAGTAAGTACTTCATTACCTATAGCAGACTCTCTCATCACTCCCACTCCCACCCTACGAAGAAGATTGAAAACTTCCCTATCATAGCCCCATACATCTATGATGCTAGGTACTCCCACCGTACGACGATATAGGGCTGTTGTAATGACCTGTGGGAGTCCTAACTCCTCGCTAGCATCTCTGTGTTTCCACAAACACAATCCCTATCTTGTCTCCCTTTCTTTTTATACGATCCCTATATGCACTCTTTTTTAATCCGCAGGATTTTTTTTTAACGTGTCTCCTCTCATTTTATATACTACTACGTAGCAAGCCCCTATAAAAAATGTAATAGAGAAAAAATGCCTGTTGTCGTCATGGAAATGAAATGCATACCATCCATGTGTGCTGCCGTTAGCAAGTTTGAGGAGTGAAGAAGTAATTATAAAGAAAAGTGCCTGAGGCTATTTGTTGTTGTGGTCGTCATGGAAACGATGTAATACACATGCGCACCAAGTTTCACCTCCATGCGTGGTACCGTTAGCAAGTTTGAGGAGTGAAGAAGTAATTTTAAAGAAAAGTGCCTAAGGCTATTTGTTGTTGTAGTTGTCATGGAAACGATGTAATACACATGCGCACCAAGTTTCACCTCCATGCGTGCTATAGTTAGCAAGTTTGAGGAGTGAAGAAGGAAAAGTGCCTGAGGCTATTTGTTGTTGTAGTCGTCATGGAAACGATGTAATACACATGCACACCAAGTTTAACCTCCATGTGTGCTGCCGTTAGCAAGTTTGAGGAGTGAAGAAGTAAATATAAAGAAAAGTGCCTAAGGCTGTAGTTGTCATGGAAACGATGTAATACACGTGCGCACCAAGTTTCACCTCCATGCGAAGAAGAAGAAGGAGAAGGAGAAGGAGAAGGAGAATGAACAAAACTCCCTATCATAGCCCCATACATCTATGATGCTAGGTACCATGTCAATCCCTATATACTAAGTACTACCGTACTTAGTGATACCATCCCTATATTCCTTCTTTTTTTTAAAACGCAGGATTTAAAAAAATTTAATTGTGTACTTTTCATGTCCATTAGGAGTTACCAACATATTATTCTTGTGTTGTAAAGGCAATAACATTCATATTTTTACAACAATAACAACAGTAAACAGCACTGGGCCTGACAATGGCCAAGTTCTCATTACTGACAATGGCTAGTACTCAAGTTCTCATTTCGGTCTCTTTGAAGGTGGCTACAGAACCACCACTTGGGCTGTAGCGAGCCGCTTCTTTCGGTCGAGCCGAGGCCACATGTAGAGACTGTGGCTGTCGAGCATCCTGTACGCCTCAGCATCTGTGAATATTCTGTGTAAACTGGCTTTTGAGAGCTTGGAAGCATGGTCGTCTAGCCCCCTCAAGAACAGGCGGTGGTGTAAAACAAGCCACAGAAATACGATACCGGGACCAGTCAGTCTTCTCATCTCCATGTCGAGCCATTGGACTGGATCGGAAGTCAGTAGTATGTCCAGGTTGCTGTCGTACATTGCAACCACCAACTCGCCTTCAGGAGTGAAGAAGTAATTTTTAAAGAAAAGTGCCTGAGGCTATTTGTTGTTGTGTCGTCATGGAAACGATGTAATACACATGCGCACCAAGTTTCACCTCCATGCGTGCTATAGTTAGCAAGTTTGAGGAGTGAAGAAGGAAAAGTGCCTGAGGCTATTTGTTGTTGTGGTCGTCATGGAAACGATGTAATACACATGCGCACCAAGTTTCACCTCCATGTGTGCTGCCGTTAGCAAGTTTGAGGAGTGAAGAAGTAATTATAAAGAAAAGTGCCTGAGGCTATTTGTTGTTGTGGTCGTCATGGAAACGATGTAATACACATGCGCACCAAGTTTCACCTCCATGCGTGGTACCGTTAGCAAGTTTGAGGAGTGAAGAAGTAATTTTAAAGAAAAGTGCCTGAGGCTATTTGTTGTTGTGGTCGTCATGGAAACGATGTAATACACATGCGCACCAAGTTTCACCTCCATGCGTGCTGCAATTAGCGAGTTTGAGGAGTGAAGAAGTAATTTTAAAGAAAAGTGCCTGAGGCCTTTTCGAACAATATGCGGTCGTCATGGAAACATGTAATCGTCATGGAAATGATATAATAGGCATACGTACCAAGTTTCATCTCTATGCGTGCTACCATTGGAAAGTTTGAGAAGTGAAGAAGTATTATTTAAAGAAAAGTGCCTGAGGCTATTTGTTGTTATTTACAAACATGTATTGTTGTGATTTTGATGTTGGCTATTGAATACATTGTGTATACAAACTTTCTTTCACATAGCTCTTACCAATTGTGAGTTACACCGACACATCTAGTATGGCCATTATAACGTATTGCCCATTATAATGTATTGCCTGGGGCAATTTTGTTGTTGTTTACAGTAAACAACATTGTTTACAAACAAAAAGGTATGATGAGTCCCATGTGGTTATCGATATGTACATTCCTACAAAATTTCATGGCTTTATCTCTTTCGGTTTTTGAGTTATGCTGGTCGAACAGGAAGAAGAAGAAGAAGAAGAAGAAGATGAACAAAACTCCCTATCATAGCCCCATACATCTATGATGCTAGGTACCATGTCAATCCCTATATACTAAGTACTACCGTACTTAGTGATAAGGGGCAAAATTGTTGGCCCTATAGTGTTCGTATTTCGTATATTATTATACTATGTGTGTCTTTTATAATGAGACTCCACTGTACATGAGACCTGATCAACTGTCCCATATAAAAGAGCTGTATATATTTAGCCCTTACACAATGGGGTATATATAATATACATACTTGGGAATCAAACTTGTCTTTGTGATTCCTTCTGCTGTAAGCTATTAATTGTTCCGGCAAATCCACATCTATGATGAAGGCTCGAGGGAGGATAAATAATAGTCTTGCACTTCCATTCCTTCACATAGCTACACGGTCAAATTCAGGAGACATAGTTACTATAATTATTCTGCTATTGCTAATGTAGTCATGGCCTCTTTCTTTCGTGTTTATACACAGCCAATTTCAAGAGACGCACCTGCTTATTGCTTCACAGTACTATTATAATAATTATCTTACATCAGAATAACGGAGCATTAATATTATTATTATCCACCAAATCTATTTCCCTAGCTGTCTCAGTATGTGTGATATGAACTCGTTTCCATTGTCTGTCTTCCCATCCAGTAGCCTCTCCACAAACAGCCGCTTTTGGCTTCGCTCTCTGCAATAGTGATACCAACAGGAAACCTTAATAATCACTCATCAAGGGCCCATAACCATGCAATAGTCACGTGGTATTAATTTGCTAAGGTCAATGCACACTTAATGAGCAAATGGCGTGTATTTTAGATGCATTACAGAAGCCCGTCTCACTCTTCTCTTTCTCCTCTTTCTTTCTGTAAGTAGCATGTAAGTCAAGCGCGAACTGTTATAATTATTAGCTACATATACCAACATCACTAGATACTAGATGAAATTACGTAATACTCAGACAGGGAGTCCGTGAAGGCTTCGAACATGAATGTATTACCTAACTTATGTAATACATACTCCAATTGACGCACACTCCAATTGACGCTAGGCCTGTGTGTCGAAGTTATTTGGCTCGGACCGCAGATATGGCGCTGCGCATCCGCGTAATTCTGTTCTGAACGACGGGCGTAGTGCCTATGCTCAGCGGCGCTGCCTATATTATAATATAGCATGCATGCAGCTACCGTCTAACGACGCCCACTACAATTTTTCCCTAATTATAATCTATGCTAGAGCATGCATTCCGAAGCAATCAAAGTGTTCAAGGGACAAGGGAGCGGTTCTGGCTACTTATTTTAGGGGACAACTAACGTTGCTGGATATGTTTGTTCGAGCACATTGCGTCGGGCTACTAGCCTCTTTTGCTGGCATCCACCCCGACATCGTTCCACCCTGCTCATTCTGGCCACTGGGTTTGAGAGCTGTCCAACCTACGTTGATGCCAGTTCCTGTTTTTTTTTATAGTCTCGTGTGAGCTGAGGCCAAGCGATCAGTGATGAGTTTGTTTTAAAATTATAGAAGACACGTCATACAACAAAATGCGGTCATTTCACCTTGTATGCTGCTAAAAATACAAAAGCCTTTCCATCACAGAGAATTTGGCTTTCAAGAGACTCTATAGGCATTGGATCACGTTCAGATCATAGCACAACCAACCAGCTTCCCTCCTCGACAGCCTCTTGGACTTGTAAAGGGAAAGTGGCAGAACATCCATTTACCCTCCTTTATAAATAGAAGGTTTCGTCCTCTGCAAAGAGGATAGAAATGTAACCACCCATCCTTAGCATTTGCACTAACTTCTTTACTGCGGCTTTGAAATCGTCGAAGGTTTTACAAGCTGACTCAAGGACTAAACTTGTGCATATGATCGAATATGAATCTTCAGTTGGAGTTATTGGGTGCTCATCATAAACATTACAGCTCGTAACTTTGATCTTTGAACGCAGCAATGCTACTCTCTCCTGCCATGCGGCAATCTCCTTCAAACCTACCTTCAATCTCGTTTACACATACTTGATATAGGGGCTCCAATCATGGGCGTCTTTATTATCATTCTTCCACAATTCAATTTCCTTTCGTTCATCTTCTTGTAAGCAGAATGAACAATTTCAGAGACATGCGGTGCTGCACT